GAATCCCACTTCTACTGCAGGCACAAGATGAGGTCCACCATAGCCATGGCAGCCCTTCTTCTTCCTCCACATACAGGCCGAGGCTATGGCGGACTAATGAGGCTCCAGCCTCCGGTACAAGAGACAACCCAGAGCAGCTATACCGCTGCCCTACTTCGAGGTCATCACCCAGCAACTATGCCGCTGCCCACTCAACCGCCATGCCTGACTCTGTCCGAGCTTCCTTGATGCGGCACTACCCCCACTGGGGCCTTCCTGATGCAGCGCCTAGCAAGGAGATGAAGATGGTGTCTACCATAGYCRGTAAGTACCTCGCCACTCTCCTCCTTGGTCCCCTTCTCCCTCCTCCTCCTAYCGGTDGAGYTCCACCATAGCCAAGGTGGAAGCTCCCGGCTTCTTCCTCCCAGCAGCGCTGTMGTGCCCAGCGCTACTCCAGCCAGCGCTCSAGCAGCRTGACGCCCAACTCGCACACTGAAGAAAGAGGCCGGGCTCTTTGCCCTGCCTCTTGATATAGCGGCCTACTTGCCTCCTRGGCGGTGACTTCCRGRCCGCTCGGCCTCTCCAAGCAACCGRTACCTCCTCYRTTTCGGAGGGAAACATCATTGCAGACCCTGATATTACCCGTACAGGCTCTAGACTCAGACTGGTTGGACTGGTACCGGCCTAGACCTACCCTACCGCTACTGGACTCTAAAAATGCCAACTTTGTYTTTTTCTGCTCGGCCTCCAGTACCCCCTCACGCCAACTGCAGTGGGGTGCAGTATCGGCCTACCGGCCTGCTTGAGTGTTTTTTCTGCTACCCCAAGGGCCTCAGGGCTGCTAGCTTCGCCACTTGAGTATTTTCCCTGCTACAACCTTCAATGCCACGGCCACAGGTAAGTACCGGCCCTACGGGCCTACCGAACAAGCAAGTACCCTTGCGGGTCCCACACACACTCATACCAACAGGCACTCAGACAGGCATGCAGGTCAGAAGCACGCACACACAGACAGACTTAGAAACACAGCAGAAAGCAGGCATCTCAGCAAGGCATCCATTCCATTGGCAGAACTTAAGAAATCAGTAGTGTTCTCAGTCTGTGTTTTGACGGGTCATTACACTACCCCCCCCTCAAGAGCGAGGTCCCTTCGAGCGAGTAACTCAATAAGAGTCCTTACATAATGCATCATAGGCGTAGATAGCAAAGAGAGATCGGTTGTGTTCTGTAGGAGTCAGGGTAGCAGTGAATTTTGGTTGTTGTTTAGAACTAATCAATCGTTCATAGGCGTTAACGACGCGCGGTGCACTCTGCAGTAAATCCTTCTTAGCAATCCAGTAGAAATCATCCAACGGATGATAGAGAAAATGGACTTTGTATTGTCAGTTTCGTCCCTTCCCACTGTGTTCGACAATTCTATCAACCTCGTGACCGCCATTGATTGCGCGGTGAATCATCGATTCTCGGTACTTGAACGTCTCAGGTGGCTCATACGGAAATAACTTTGATGCGTGAAAGACTGGGTATGCGCGGAGATGAGCAGGCACATCAATCGTGTAAGAAGGACCGAAGGAATCATTACCTACATGATTCAGCACCTTTCAGGGACCATAATACTGAGGAAGAAGTTTCCGTGATACGCCTTTTTCGTCAGAAAACTCAGACATCTTGACCCAGACATAACTTCCCATGGTGAAGGGATCAGGCTGGCGCTTCTTGTTTGCATGCTTAATCATTGCACTGCGCCGCCTCTCCATAGCCGCGACAACGACTTTAAGCAAACGATCGTACTTAGCGCTGTAGCCTGGCTGGCCAGGGGTTAGGCCAGGTGGCTGTTCCGGGAACAGATAGGATAGGGGATTGCGGATTTTCCATCCGAGGTGCAGCCGGTTAGGCGTCATCCTGGTGGAAGAGTGGATGAAGTTGTTGTACAACCCCTGCACAATCGGCAACTCGTCATCCCAAGAGTTCTGGTCAAGCACGGTAAGAGCCCTGAGAAGTTGGATCACGGTCTGGTTGATCTCCTCGGCCAGCCCATTGGCTTCGGGGTGTCGACCAGACGTCATCTTGAGTTTCATGTCGTAGGTCTGGGAGGTGAAGAAATTCCAATCTGCACTTATGAACCTGGTATCCCGATCGCTCACAAGAGTCTTCGGGGGACCGCACTGCAGAATGTACCTCTTGTTAAATTCTTCGATCACAAGGTCAGTTGGGGCATGAGGTGGCAACGGGATTAAGTTAAAAAACTTGGAAAAACGATCGACGATCACCATTACTTGTGAATAACCGTTTCTACTCTTCTTCCCCATGTCCGTGAAGTCAATGGAAACAGACTCACCCGGGCCATCAGGGATAGGAAGAGGGTGCAGCAGCCCATAGGGCTTCTGTCGAGACGGTTTGATGCTTTGACACACTTCACACTCAGCCACAAACCTTTGTGTCATGCTTTTCATTCCAGGCCACACAAACTTTTCCAACAGATTTTCGTATGTCTTCTCAACACCGAAGTGTCCACTTCGGCCATGAGCCAAGTCCAAGAAGTGAGTCATGATCGGCTCATGGTTGGGCACACACAATCGGTCATGTTTCCCATAACGCCGGAAGAGAAGGCCCTTACATTCATGGAAATCAGGCTGACTGCTAGGCTCAGCCCGAATCTGCTCAAGGATGGGACTGAGTTCCGGATCCTTGACAGTATGCTCTATGAGTTCCTCCTTCAGATCTTTACGCAGGTCATAGGAACCCACAAGGCAAGTCATGTACTCCGGGTGGCGTGACAAAGCATCCGCAACGCGATTGTAACAATCTTTCTTGTGCTTAATCTCAAAGTCATACACAGCAATCTCATGCAGCCAACGGGTCAGCGTAGTTGAGGGATTATTCTGTGTCTGAACCCATTTCAAGGTCTCATGGTCTGAGAACACTTTGAAATGGCGACCCAAGAGGTAGTGCTTCCAGTGGTCTAGTGCCTCTCTCAAGGCATAGAGTTCTCGCATGTAGGTGGAGGCAGCTACCTTGTGACTGGGCATACGTTTGCTGTAAAACTCTAGCGGACGTAGGCCGTCGCCGTCATCTTGTTGCAGCATTGCACCAATCCCATACATACTGGCATCCCGTAGTTACTACGAATGTGAGTTTGGGATCTGCAATGCGGAGCACCGGATGACTCACCAAAGCCTCCTTTAATGCTGCAAAGGTTGTCGTGCATTCCCCATCCCATGTGTAAGACACATTCTTGCTAGTCAATCTAGACAGCGGACGGGCGGTAATAGAAAACTTAGGCACAAACTTGCGGTAGTAGGACGCAAGACCAAGAAAAGAACGCAACTCGTGAACATTCGCCGGTTGAGGCCAATTGCGGATGACCTCAACCTTGGTTGCCTCAGGCTCTAGGCCTGCAGCAGACAACCAGTGCCCAAGGTAGATGACGCTGTCTCTCCCAAACTCAGATTTCTCCAAGTTGAGATGGAGTTGCGCGTCCTTGAGGACCTGCATCACTTCCTCAAGGTGTCTCATGTGCTCTTCCATCGATTTGCTGAAGATTAGTATGTCATTCAGATATACAACAACAAATCGATTGATCTGATTCCGAAATACCTTATCCATGAGACTTTGAAAGGTGGCTGGTGCATTCGTGAGACCGAAGGGCATGACTGTGAACTCGTACAGCCCATCGCGAGTCTTGAATGCAGTTTTGTGCTGGTCTGCAGGTTCGACCTCAATCTGGTGGTAGCCAGACTTGAGATCGATCTTGCTGAAGACTTTGCACCCACCTGCAGCATCAAGCAAATCATCGATATGTGGCAAAGGATACGCATTCTTTCTCGTGATCCGATTCAACCCGCGGTARTCAATACACATCCGCAACTTACCTCCTTTCTTAGGGACAAATAGCACCGGTGCACCAAACTCGGACTCATTGGGTTTGATCCACCCCTTCCCAATCATCTCATCAATTTGCCTTCGCAACTCCTCCAATTCGCCAAAGCCCATTCGATAGACACAACCCTTTGGAGGAGTGCTACCTTCAGTCAACTCGATCTTGTGCCGAACCGGACGCACGGGAACTCCATGCGGTTTGGCCAAGACTTCAGAAAATCGGTTGAGAAGGTCGCGAATTTCCGGTGGAACTTCCGGAGGGGGATCACCACTCTCAGGAGAAAGCATATCAGATGTCATAGGTGCAACCAATATGACAGGATTAGAAGTAGAGCCATTTGGACTAGAGGTAGATTTAGTAGAGGTAGAAGKAGTTGCATCCGAGGTGGAAACAACATGCAAAGTAGAATCAGTATGTACARCAAAAATAGAAGGCACATGAGCAGGCCTAACAAAGACTATATACATTTGCTCATCAGTTTTGCGCCTGCGCCAATTTTTTGCAGCATTGCATTGCATTGAGAAAGGTTACTTGGGACTCGCGCGACTCATCCAAGAGGACTGGACGCTCGATTCTCATGGCATCTTTGACCATGAATTGTGAGTCCTTCCACGTGGTTCTTTCACATTGGACCTGCAACCAGCCCAAGCCAATAACCGCGTCGAAGGGGCACTGATCAAGGACATAGAAGTTCAATTCATGCGTGATTGTGCGGTCAGCGTCAAAGGTAGTGCGCACACCTTTGACTGCATGCGTAGATGTGACAACCTCTTGGTTGCCTACTTGGGTCCGACAAGGATTTTACAAAGTCACTTGCTTCATCCCCAAGCGTGCCTTACGAATGCCGTGCGGTGAGAAGTAGTTGGCGGTTGCACCACAATCAGCCAACGCATGGATGTAACGACCATTAATGTAGAGTTTGAAGAAGATCAACTTCGTTCTCCCTTGCGCGCGTTCTTACTTCATGTGAGCCCAACTCGTCAACAGAGAATGGAAGTCAATTTCTTTCGACTCTACCCAAGGCTCCTTGTATAGGATGTGGATCTTCTCAGCCTTGGAATCAACATTAGATGGGGTTTCAGGAGAGGTTTGCTGAGTGGGATCAGAATCTAAAGAAGGATTTGTACTTACATGTTTAGCCTCTCCTTCAGTAGAGTGTGCTGACGATGCCTCTACCCCCGTTGCTGGTTTCCCTGCTGCAATCTGAAACAATGTTGGACTGAATGTCCCGGTTTGGTGCAATGCAGACAAACTCCTCTCTTCACCCTGTTCTTCCACTCACTTTCACTAATCCGGAGATCTACCCATGGTTTTGTGGCAGGATCTTCCGGTTTTGGTGGAATCTTTACTCCCTTGGGAAGAAGGATAGTGTTAGTGTTATTCTTCATCGTGGTCCTCGGTCCGTTACTCTTAAAGGCAGTCTTCTTAAAGACATTCATGGATTCTTCGTCATTTACAAACTCAGATCATGAGCTGACAAAGAGCAAGATGCCCCGCAGTCTTGCTCTTGATCGTCATCAAGAGAAGATTCATCCACGAGGGTCTCCTCGTCATCCTCAAGCAGATCATGTGCTGCAAAACGGTTGATGCATGGAAACCGCTTGCGGCTGGTGGCCTTTTTGCCACCTGATCCACCCGGGAGGTCTTGTGCCTCCAGCTTGACTAAGTCTCGCATGAGGGTAAGCCAATCTGTATATCCGCTGAGCCCGAGCCCTAGGCGATCTTTCAGAGTCGAGGGGACCGTACCTTTTATCACATCCAAACAGGACTGCGCAGTCATCTCCAGATCCGGAGTAGCAAAGAGTTTGCTAACATACTGCTGCAGGCTGTGCATGGTGCCTGTCCACTTGCTGTGCTTGAGCTTGTCAAGGTTAAGTCTTGCTTTAGCTGCAACATGTGGATCAACATATTGTTTGATCAAGAGATCCTCAAGTGCGGCAGTAGGCGTAGCCTTTAGCCATATGTTCAGGTCTATTCTCTTATAGCCTGATTGGACAGCTTGGGTTTCTAGGAAACCCCGCACGACGGGCTCCACATTGGTCCCCAGGATAGACGAATGAGTGGACGGGGGTGTCCCCAATACATCAAAGTAGGACCGCATAGAGCTGATCCAAGACTCGACGTCGTCCTTTCCGTCATACTTGGACGGAATCTGCGCCGCCTTCCTGTTGATGTACGCAAAGTTGTCGCCTGGCCCAGCCATTGCTGGGTCCGGGCCCGGGGCTGCAACAGTTCCAGAAGTCCCTGCACCACCACTAGCTGCCGCAGCAGCAGCAGCAGCAGGGTCTGGACTTGCTGCAGGTTCGCTTTGGCTGTTAACCACACTCAAAGAAGAAGAAGAAGTAGAAGCAGAAGAAGTAGACGTGGTCAGAGGGGCAAAACTGGACTGACACGCAGCATAGGAGGCAAGGTAGGTGAGTGAAGAGACGATTTGAGCCTGCTGCGAACTAGCAAACTGTTGCAGCTGATCGCGGTGTTGCTGTGCCATCCTGGCCATGTCTTCGCGCAACTCCTTGAGCTGCTTAAACACCTGCGCGAGTTGGTCAGTATGGTCCTCAGCAACCCGGACCCCTGCTAAGGCTCTGAGGAGGGGAACCGTTTTCTCTCCTACCTCCTCATCAGTCAGAGCGGACAAGGTGCTAAGGACGGCCTCGTGAGCCTGCACCTTATCCCTTCTCTCTCTCTCTTTCTCTTCCTCCTCCTTCTTCAAGGCTTTCTCGTAGAAGAACTGATACTGCGTTTTTTCTGCCTCAGGGGCAGCGTCCATCTGCAGTTTCCAATCTGCTGCAGATGCCATGATGGAGGATGAGGGTGTCAGTAAGACTCTCAAGAGGGGTCCGTACTTCCTCTCAGCTTTGCGACGAACACTCCTCTTCCCTCTCCTCACTCCCTCAAGAGCAACACTCAATAACTTCTCTCTTCTCTCTCTCTCTCTCTCGTTTGCGACCGTGTAGACGCAGGCATTAATGAACCCAATGAAAGAAACAGCTTGAAATCATTCAGAAGAGAAGGTAGAACTCCTAGCCGGAGCGGCAATTCATTTGGACTGGAGAGTCGTCAAAACAGCAAAAAGAGAAAAGATCAGAGAGATCTGATCCAGCCACACAGTCTGGACTGACTACGTATGGGGTCCTCCCAAGCCTAGCAAGCCTCAGCTCCATGAAAACACAGCAAATCAGATTCAAGATGTACAGCGAAATGCAAGAGAGAATTGAGTGGTGTATAAGGTGCGAGTCAGGCGGCGGATTGTGCGGTAAAGTCTGATAAAATGTCCCAGCGGAGATCCCCTCCGCAGCGAGTGTCCTGGTCCGAAAGCATAAAGTCCGTGTCCCAATCAGATAGAGCAAGGTAACTGACGTCAACAGATTTGGCCTGAGGGGCCCTTCTTGTTTGGGCCCGGTCCCACTGAGTCCCAAATAGTCCCAGTGGAGTCAGAACCGGGTCCCAACCAGCAAGAGTTCCACAGAGACCTACTTTGTCCCTACTGAATTGAAAAACGAAATTTTGCCCCAGAAAGAACCTGTAGACTACAACCGTTCAGAATGAAATAAACAAAGCACTATAGAGAGATACCACATGGCAAACAAGATACTTCATTCATTCACTCGTCAGGTAGTAGGCAGTTCACACACCTCACACACAATCAAGACTATGGAGGATGGAAGAAGAACCTAGAGAACCCCAACAGGCAGTCAACTCCATGCACACACACATGGGCATCCTGGTGGCACGGCACTTTCCTGAGTGGTTGGGCTCTTGAGATGAAAAGAACTCACCCCCTTCTCACATAGTCCTCCTGACCCAATTAGCATCCTCTACACTAGTGTCCTATCATCTAGGAGGGTCAACATCTACCCCAAAGTACACAACCGGATCCCCCGTCAATGTTGAAGATCAAAGCAGCAACTTGCAGTCCGTAGGTGCAGATATGGCTGCCACCCTCAAGCTCGCCTACTTGAGGGGAGCCCTAAAGTCACTCCTTGTCTTCCATGAAGTCCAGATTCAAGTTGTAGGTGCCCATCACTGTCGCCTCTCTCAAATTGCATCACGAAGTCCCACCTTGTGTCTCGCCACCACAAACATGCACTCAAGCAACCTGGCCGGGTCTAGTGTC